TGTATTTTTGCACAACATAGATCTCTTCAAACCTATCTTCATGTATCATTGCCCACAAAATGGATGCATACAAGTGACAAGCGACTTAAAGCCATCATTTGATATTGGCACTTCCAAGATTTTTATTTTGGGGATTTTATTATGGGAGCTTTAAAGGTAGCCATGGTGACAAAGTGCTCCTTTACATGATTTGTCTCTTACTTAAATGCTCAATGAGCAGAAATCACCTCATTACTGACATTATATATTGTAAATCATTGTATGGAGGTGTGTGTTTGAGTGACATCTGCTGTAAATGTGTAAAACTGACTAAAAGCTTGGCTGCTTATTACTATCTGAGCTGGTGTTTCCAGATGAGATGAAAGTGGACTGATCAGTAGGTGTTCTCCTTCAGGAAATATAAGTATTGTTTAAAAAACTGTTGTACCGCACAAGTAATTCATGACTGTGGATTTAATTGCCGGGGTGTGTGGGGTTTGTGCAACTATTGTGCGAATGAAATTGCCTCAGGCACAGCCAGTGGTGTGTAATGGGAGGCCATCCATCACGTAACAGATGGAAATGCAAGGCAGGGAAATTGCACAGGGGCAGCAGTCAGCACTACCTGCTCTCTAGCCATGGACCTGAAATACCGAAAGCTGGACAATGAGAATAAGCTGGATCACAGGTCCTGTATAAAGACAAGAGGAGATTGAGGGAAAACATATTCATACTAAAGCAAACATCTGTCAGACTGTATGCAGTAGTTACAATAATCTGTAAAGGCATATTTTAATGAAAAAAATCTAAATTCAAAGTTTGAACCTTATCTCATTTCACTTGTTATAACCTGTCACAAATGCAACTTTTATCGTTCTTCATTTTTACTTTCTTATATCACACTTGAAAATATAACTGATGATCCATTGTTTGCAATTAGGCCCTGACCAATGACTTTTCACTTTGAATATAGTTTCAGTCACCTTTTACATCTCCTTGCTTCTTGAGCTTAGCTCATCCGTCACACTCCTCAATCTTTCCTCCCTTACTCTACACATACTCTACATCCCACGTTGTGTTGTTGACTATTTTTACACAAGATTCCAGTGAATTATTGATACACTTCCCTGTTTTCATGAGCCATTACACAGGGAGGTGCTGCTGAATTATTGAGCAAAGCTCAACCCGAGCACACGACTGCTGAAGAAGTACAACCAACTCACTCTGTAACACTGAAAGTGTCCAATGTTGTCTTACAGCAGCTTTTCATCATACGAATCAGGCTTTACGCCTTCCTCATCATCCAGTTGGCCTATGAATGTCACTCAACTTCTCTTCATTGCAATATCAGAGTAAAAGAAGGAGAGAAGATAAAACACAAATTATAGCTCCCTGCAATCACACGGCACCCGGTGGTGAATTTGAGTGTTTGCTGAATGACATGTTTGAGAAATCAACATGTCGGAGAGCATCCGGTCTGAAAGCATCAAAAAACTGTCTCTCTCTGCACTCAGCCTTGATGTTGACGATATAACACTGAACTGTTCTTGTCGTTTTCTGTACTGACAGAATGCTACAATAATATTGTTACAATAACGATAATAGTAGATAATCAATATTATCATAGTATCCGTAATTGTTCAAAAAGTACAAATACACACTCAAATAATTGTATAATTTTTGTAATTATGCAATATCCCAATGCACAAATCAAGTCTTGACTAGATTATGACAGAATTTATATATATGGGTTGGGAGATTAAACATGTGTTAATGTGTGTGGACGTATACAGTCTGCAGACACACAAAACAAACAGAACCTCAACAATAAGTAGAATCAACAAACTTTGTTAATTAAATTGTCAAACTGTAGAACTGTATGGAAATTCTGCAATGGTCTACCATAGCACTGTTAACATTTCATGGCTAAGCACTGGTATAGTTAATAGTTGTGTGAAAGACTGTTAACCTCTCATGCACAGTGTTGTAATGTTGCTTGACCACTGGCTTAATGTGCTGTTGGAAGCTATTGATCACGTGATGATGTTAAGAAACATGAACAAGAAGAGACATGGGCCTTAGTGCAGTTATGCATTTATGCATTTATGTGCTCATTTGAGTAGCCACTACCTCTGTGGGGTCTGTGTGTGCACACATGGTTTTATTGTGGCCGTATCCAAGTTATCTTATACATACATGTCTATATATATATTAATATATATATACTCTTTCGACTATAAAGCCTACCTATTATCACAATGTTAGAATGCTATACCACACTGTTGACCTGCTGCTTAGGAGCTGACATCCCATGGTCCCCAGAGAGCTTTCAGTGATAGAAAGATAAGATTAATGACAGACCCTCCTGAGCTACAATCACATTATTTTGAGCTGCCTGCTCTCCTGCATAATAATAAAAGGAAATGTGCTAGAAGAGTCTGTTTGTTTGTCTCTCTTCTTCTGTCTATTTGTAATTACTTCAAGTGACGTGATCTGAGAAGCATTACAGATCAGTGGTTCTGATTGGATGTATGTGATAGGAGGCTATATGCTGGGGTTTGTACAAACATTTTTGGTGCTTAAATGAGTGATTATTGAGAATTGTGGCAGTAAATGGTAGTAAAAGAAATACACTGGAGGCTGCTCATGCCGTCATGTTGTGTTGTTTGGCGTCACAATTGAGTTCTGTCTGCCCTCTGTGAGAATAGCCATGAAGTCCTTCATATGATTAGTGTCCGTGCACAGCAAGCCAAAGACATCTTAATCCCTCGTATCGCTCCTCTAACAACAGTGTGGTCCTTCTAGTGTCTGACTTTGCTGCTCTAGAGTCAGAAAACTCTAATATTCTTCCTTTGATTAAAATCAGTCTGTCTGAGTCTGTGATGTTCAGAATCATTATGCAATTCAGATTCACTTATTTGAATGAGCCACATTCATACATAGGATTCATAAGCAAAAATAAAAATAGAGCATAATGTTAACAGATACATCACCAGACCCATAACAATTCAGGAAAAAAACACTGTGTTCTTTCATGTCCACTGAAAAGCTTTTAGAATATAGAATAGAATATAAAAAGCGGTGTAGAGACACATGGGTCACTGTTAACCACTGCCAACAAGCACTCACAGTCACATCTTACCACACATGTGTCTCCGTGTGTGTTAGTGTGTGTTAGTAGCAGCATGAAGGTTGGTTGGTGGAGAGGCAGAATAAGCTCCTGACAATGAAGCAGAATATACATAAAGTTTCTCTTGCCATGTTCCATTTAAATTGATCTGGTGCTGGAGCCTTACATTCAGTGTCTTAATGCTTAAACCACATATATCTGCACATTTCCTTCCCTGCTCTACCTGCTGCACAAACTGAAAGGCACAACTCACAGCCCAGGATTCCCTTCAAGAAACGACAAAGAGAAGCTAATTTATATTCTGGCATCACATGCAGTTGATATAATAATGTGCAAGTATATATTGTCTCGACTCACTATTGAGAACCAGATACGTGAATGCAAAATTACTGCAGAGCAGCACAGGCTGATGGTAGAACACAGCATGTTATATTTTCATCAGCATGTGTTCATTCACTTTTAGTTAGCAGCATTTTACAAAAACTACAGAATGGATTACTGTGACACCTGGTGGAAGGAGAGAACCTGTTATATTCTGGTGCGGATCAGGATCACAGAAAGGATTGTCCTGTGGATCACTGAAATAAAGCCAAAGGTGCTCAGTCTGAGCTGCATTAGAGAAGTAGTAGAGTCATGATATTACATGTGTGTATAAACTTGGCTGATTGATCAAACAAGGGTCTGATATTTTATGAAAGATTGCTGGTTTATTAACTAGTTGTGAGTAAATAAAGAACCAGCCAATCCTACAGTGTATGTTGCTGTGCAGCTAGTGGTCTAAGCCGTATGAACGTGATGGAGACACTAGTGGACAGGCTGAGTCTCTGGCCAATGACACTTAGCTTGTTGTCACTGGACTGATGACCTAGCAAACCATCACATCTTCTACAGCATCATGTCAGTCAGATGCACAGCAGGTACACAGTCTATGAGTCACTCTGAGATGTTCCAATAGGAGAGACTGTGTGTTTGTGTGTGAAAGAGTGTGAGAGAGTGTGAGAGAGCGACAAAGAGAGGCTCATATGGCCACATATAAAATATGTTTCCGATCATGGCTTTGTGACACACACACACGCACGCACACACAAATACACGATACTGCACGACATGCATTGCATTCTTGTTTATTGCCGTTGAATGTTTGAGATTTATTCATCTTGTGTGGAGAACTTTCACAAACATCTCCACATGGATCTTGAGCATCATTTTGAAAGTGAGTCTCATGCATTGGGCTCATTGTTTACATTAACTGAACAGTTAATCTAATGTCCATTCATACTGTGGCCAAGACTTCCTCACTTGAGATTCCTGCCTTTAACCATCTGCTTATTTTCAACAGGCGAGCAGGAGACATTTTGTGTGTGCTGTGCGACATGGGTTCTATTTCATACTGCACAATTTATGACAGCAATATTATTACCTGACTGGAGGTCAAACCTTCAATACACTTTATAGCACTACAGTTCAGCCATTACAGGTGCAGAGGAAGGACACACTGAACCTGAAAGTTACAGGTTCTGAGTGTGACCATTGGTGAAGGTTTCCAGGCTACACAAGCTGCAGCCCTGTGTGAATCGGAAACTGCAATTACCATGCTTGTGCAGTATCTTTGCTATTAGTAAGGTGACAGATTTACACATCTGAGCAATATAAACTTACCACATCCATTCATTTACTACTCATGTTCTCATCTCCCTCTCTTGTTGAACCCATCCAGTGCTAATCACTCTATCAGAGTACTATGTATGAGAGAGGAGTATTCATGGTGCTATTCAGCAAATGCAAGACTGTTAAATTGTTGATGATACAGAGATCCACAAGCTTGTACCCTGAAAGTAGGACAGTGGTGGGTCTCACTCTTTCCCCCTCCTTCTCTCTCTGTCTCTTACAGGCCAGCCCTGCCCCAATAATTGTCAACACAGACACTTTGGAGTCAGTTCCTTACGTGAGTTTGAATAATTGTGCTTTTTTCTGTGCCTAGTTCTTCTAGTTAAAGATCAATACTTCAAACACACTTGCCTAGAATCTGTCCTCCATGCTCCAATGCTGTGAATGAAGGGAGATCATTGTGTAACTTGTTTCAATAAAACAAATGAAGTCGCAGTGCTCAATTATTGATGTTTGTCATGAATAAAAGACCAGCACAAGATTTTCTAGACCTTCACAAACACTTTTCATAGTATTTTACATCAAAACAAATAAATGGAGCTTTGGTGCCATCCAGAAGCTGAGTTAATAACAAATACTTCCCAAAAAAATTGGGCTTGATGAGAAACTGTCACAGTTTGCAGTAATGTTAACAGTTTAAGATACTTTTCTGATTTGTAAAGAACTAAAGACAGGAGAGCACCTGCATCCTGCAGTGACAACATCTCTCACGTTTATCAAACCATTTGATGTGGCAGAGCTTGGACATAAACTGAACAGCCAAGATTTTATCAAAAGTAAAAATGAAAAACTTGTCTGCACAGTTCCTGCTGTGGCTAATTTAGTCCTTGGGTCTTGATTGCTTCCGTGATGATATGCAGTTCTGATGATAATATCTGATGCCCAACTGGGAATCTGAAATACAGCATCTTATATGCTTATGTACTTTACCTACGTCAATGCATAATGACAGAAGAACTCGCTGGTAATTAATCATCCCAGTGAAATACAGAATGAGAACAACTCTGTTGCAAAAATAACCAATGTTAATTAACTATCACCTTAAATAGTTTCCCTTGAGGGAGGGTCTTTTTAACACAGAGAGCACCTGCCACTTCAATTTAAGTATGTGGAGTTGGCCTAAGAGTCACTGAACATCATCCTTTATGAAAATAATTGTACATATTTCAACAGCACCAGCATGTATTTTCATTTTAAACTGTCTTTGCTTAATCTTTTCTATTTTTTCTCCTAAGGTCAACGGCACAGAAATTGAATATGAGTTTGAGGAAATCACTCTGGAGCGGGTGAGTATCTCAGATCCAGGAGCTGTGTTTGACCTCAGAAAATCTGTGAGAACGTGCCTGCGGTCGAGTAAAACAGTCTCTCCTGGAGGCTTTCAAATACACTGCAGAGATGTGATAGAAGGAACGTTCCTTCTACTTCAGCAAAGGATCTGCCCCCAGCGTGTGTCTCTCTCTGAGCTGTGTATATCAGAGCTAAACTCTGAAATGAATGTGGAATGAAGTACTTTTACATACCCAGATTAGCTCACTTTTCCACCCTATCAATGCAATGACAGGTATTAAACTGTATACCTAGAAGCCCAAACTGTTCACCTCCTGAACTGCAAAAGCTTATTGCTCCTAAGAAATTGAATGACAGCTAGATTTAATATGGCTTATACAGTAGTTCTGAATTCTCATTTTGCAGCTCCCCATCTCAATATGGTTGGAAGGTGATTTGACTTGAAAATGACTTCATTGAGATTTTTTAAATGGCACAAAACAATTTTATCCTTCGCTACCCTTTAGTGATTTGTGAGCAGATGTGGCACGTGAGCTTGCAAATGAATCTCCAAGTCAGTGAGATGGAAGAACCAGCTCAGTGGGCACAGAGAGGAGCAGACTGGAGTTTGGATCGCTTCAATACAATCAGGAGCAGAGAAGAAGCCAGGCCAACAGCAAAGCCTGGAGCTAAGATTCAAATAGCGGTCAACCTCCATCCATATTCCATGACCTCCACATTAATCATCGGCCATCAGATGAGGCTGAGAAGCGCTGTCTGGTTCCCTTGTCACTCTGGAGAGCTGGACATTTTTTTATTCTGCATTCCAGGCAGCAAGGGCCTGCAGGCACGCTCAGTAGATTTTATAATCAAGAGAAGCTGCTGCTCCCATCAGCAAACAACTTAATCAAAGCTCGGCTTTCATTTTCATTGGGCTTCTTGGGATTTTATATGCAGAGCCAACACTTCTAAAAGCAATATTTCTTAGCAAAGTCATAACAATAACGAGCCAGGTTAACTCAGGAGTGACATTTAAAAAAGGAGTGTCCGTTGAATGCATACATTAATGGCCATGAGGACATTTTGTAGTAATAAAATGCATTTTAGAAATTAGAAAATTAGAGATAAATGAGATGCTGAGCTTAGGGTTAATGTAGCTTATATCACAATAACCCGTAAACTGACATTTGAAGGACAATATCTTATACTTAATAGTACATTATTAATTTAATCCACATGACATGTAGTTTAGAATCACTTTTAATCAGCATATATTTGATTTACATTGAAGGAGCTCATCTGACAGTGATATGGGGATATGGACAGAATAGTGTTGCTATGTAGGGGTGGTTGTATATGAAGGTAAAGATATATTACAGTGTAACGGGAGCAAACCATGAGTGTTTAATGAAATCACAACAACAGGAATCATATTTAATTCGTGGTGACTGTCTGCAATGCAGTTCATACGTTGTGCCTTCACCATGTTAATGGATGGGAACGATCTGGAAATCATTTTAGGTAGCTTTTATCACACTGATGTTGGTTCAAGTGTTCATGTTTACATTGATATGGTGGCTATTAGGCACACTATGTACAATGAGTTCTGTCTGCGTTGACTTCTTTTTCACCCTCTGCTTTCTATGGTTACAGGGTAACTCAGGGTTGGGCTTCAGCATTGCTGGAGGAACAGATAACCCACACATCGGGGATGATCCTGGTATCTTCATCACTAAGATCATCCCTGGAGGTGCTGCAGCAGAGGATGGACGCTTGAGGTCAGTTCCTTTACATGACGATTAGACAGGTTTTCAGATCCAACAGGAAAAAAAAACATTTTTGACAAACAACCTTATATATAACAGTGTCATTGTTTTTGATAGAATTTTAAAATGGATTAAGGACTTAAAATGTTTCCCTCTCTTGCACAGTAGTACAACAAACAACCACAAGCTTTGCGTCATTTAGAAAAAGTTTCCACCGAGAAAAGTCTGGTCCAAATGTTTGAATCACTGACATCAATGTCGATGAGAAGGGCTGCCAAAAGAACTTCTTCACCATTTATAGAAATATAGAATAAACATAAATATAACTCTATTACGTATTGTTATTTCCTGAGGTTTCTTTGTGATTGACAAATAACTAAACAAATAATTGAAGCATTACCGCCACCAACACTGGCGTGCAGATTACTTAATGTTCAGTTCTCAAACCTGTCAAAATGCACGCTGATTCTCAAAAGGAGCCAGTTCAAAACTGGCAACAGCACCGTCCTGGTGGAGAACAGGCATGAGAAGAGCCTTGTGGAAATTCTACTTATCAGTTTATCCTACTGATACCTCACAGCAGATGTTCAAGTCCTTTATCTCAACCGCAGAAATGATCAGTCACTTATTTGAAGCAGCACTTTATGTCTAATTCCCTATGTTTGATAGTTATAACTGATCATAGCATAGGACAAAACCTTTTTTTTGTTTCCTGCTCGTTTCTGCCCCCTTTTAAAGTTACTTCAAACATTTCACTTAATGTTATAAATTAATATTAAAAAATTATTTTTTAAAAACTTCAAGCAATTTAATGGACAGAACTTCTTCCCCTCTTGACAGGGCTTTTATCATGAAACATTGCGCAGTATATGTTGAGACACAGTTGAGACATTACCACACATACACCCATACTGTCTGGAGCAGGACGGGGTTCTTTTGATCAGTTAATTAAAGCAGTAGGAATAAACAGTAGGTTTAACTGATGTGCACATTATATGACAGACACCATTTTTATCAACCCTTGTCTTGTCTTTCCTGTTTTTGGAATACCCAAAGCCTTCATCTGGAGACCTGACTTTTTACTCCCTGTGTTTACTCCTGCAAGCTAATTTCATCTTTATTAACAAGTTCTTTCTTTTGTAACCACTTTAGCATTTATATTAAATGTCATTGAATATCACACGAGCCTCAATTTATATTGTCTCATTTAAATTAACATGTACTCATTTGGGAGTTTTATTCAAAGCGAACAATACTAACACTTTGGTACGATAGGAGGGCTTAAAGTACGAAGCGCTAATTCTATTCAATAAGACAAAATGTAGGAGATCATGTAAAGACTGAAATAATTGTTGTTTCTTGAATATAAACATGAGCACCCCTCTCAGGAATTACTATCTCACTGAGTAGGACTTTATTTAGCACCTTTTCTGTTTTCCGTAGAGTCATTATTGATGTGTGTCTTGATTTACGAAGCATCTGACACTAAAGCAGCTCTGCAGGACCACAAATACAGCAGCTTTAATAAATGTCAAAGAATGAAATGCCTCCACATTATTGGGCATCATTTGCAGAGGTATGTGCCCTACTTAGTACCATTCTAAGTTTGTTTGTACAAATGTGCAAAATCTGTGCAAATGAATGAGGCCACATTCGAGTAAGTTGGCCGTTAATGTGATGCCGACGTAATCGGCCCATGCATTCACATGTAAATTCTTAGTGCACAAATGAATAGTTTTATTCATTTCCTGGTCCCATGGGGAGCCAACTTCACAGATGTGCAGTGTTATATAATTTGGTACACAATTGTAATGTCTGATAACTTTTGATCAGTGTAGTTACTGTGAAATATCCAGGGGCTCTGCAGTGTATTGAAAAGGCTGCACCAGGGTGTCAATACATAGCTTTGCAGCATTAACTTTTTATGCGTAGGCAATCTGACATTCAGAAACGGATACAGTCCATCACATCATTTGCTACAGTAGTTTGTTAAGGAGGCAACACAGTACAGCCTGAGCTCATTCATCACTTAACTGAAGTGAACGCTGACTCTAGGGAAACACTGCCCATTTTATCACCTGGGATCTTGGCCTGTTTAGTAATAAACATAAACTCTTTAACCCCAAGTGTGAAACTGGAGAGTGAGAGCTCGACTGATAGCAGTTTTCTTACAGCATTCCTGGAGATTTTCTGGTGTAATGCAAATGTGTATGAGGCGGTGAAGTACTGTACTGCATCTAGACCTGCTGTGTACAGTTTTACAGTTGTTGTCCAACAAGCAGCATGAGAATATGAAATGGGCTGTATACATCTGATATGTCATCCTTGTGCATGACTTTTTATAGTTAATCCTACGTTGTGTTTATTAACAACAGTGTGATAGATGGAAGAAGAATACATGTCTATCTAGCACTGTTGCATTAATCTAGTATTTTGCAAGCAGGAGTAACAATGTTGACTTATTTTAGGCTTGATGAGACTTCCTGTAACCTAAAGGGTAAATACATTCAATTAGAATATTTTCCTCAGTCCTGGGTCCTAATTAGTGGCTAACAGAGTCATCCAGATCAGATAACAACGAGACAAGTCTGGAGGGGAACTGTTTTTAGACTCCTTAAGAAATTATCGGATGAACTCCACACATAAATTGTTAAAAGTATATGGCAGGCTTTTTTAGATTTCAGATGGAGTAATGTTGTTATAATTATGAAAAAAAAAACACTTTGAAAAACTTTGAATTTATACCAACTCAATTAAAAAAAAAATCAATCCAGTTGTAGTTTGAGATACTGTGAGGAAAAACTGCTAAAACAATTCTCTCAAATGAACTAATCTCTTGCATTAATGAGGTGAAACTGAGTGAAGAGGATTTATTTGCAATGAGTTAGCGTTTCTATGACAAACATAATTCAGTCAGACAACTGTGGCTGTGGCTGAGGGGTAGAGCAGTCATCCTCCAACCAGGTCAGAAGTTCAATTCCCAGTCTTCCCATCTGCATGCCAAAGTGTCCTTGGGCAAGATGCTGAACCCCGAATTGCCCCATAGAACAACAACAACAATAAAAAAAAAAGTGCTACTCTAGATGCGCTGTATGTGTGAATGGGTGAATGGCAAACTGTAGTGTAAAGCGCTTTGAGTCTTCTTCAAGACTAGAAAAGCACTATATAAATACAACCACTTACCATTTAACTCACGTTCAACTGCTTATTGCAGCATTAGCACATAGTTTGTGTTGGCGTCTAGGCTCTGACTCAATCACTCCCCCGATTACGCAGATATGATGGAAGTGACGAGCAAATACTTGTAACCCCCCCGGTGGCTACAGGTGGTTGCTGGGGTGGTGGAGGGGCAGATACTGCAGCAGCAACTGGTTCACTCCATTTGTTTTGAGAACAAATTCATGACTTGAATCACTTAGTGAGGAACTGAGAAATTCAGGGAATGTTGTTTGCAATAGGAATGGGTTGTGTATGAATCTAGATTATTGATCCTGAAGGGAAAAAACTGTAGCAACACCTGTACAGTACAACACAATTCAACACAACGATTCATTTCAGAAAAGTACATCATTGAAAAATTATCAATAGCTTAAAAAGTTTTGAATTGCAGCAGTAATCACGATGACTGACAACTAAATACACAGCAGAATATACACCTAACAACCAGTACAAAATAATCATACATATTCTTCAGGCAGTGCAAAAAAAGTTCATGGACTGCTAGATCATCAGCTATATATGAATTTATATGAGACAGCTCTGGCTGAAGGCTTAAATACTTAACTTTATGTACATAGTCATAACTCATAGCTGCAGCAGGCAGTATTTATTTCCCAAAGTCAAACATGGCCATTGTGACCTCACTCAACATATGGCTGTAATTGTCACTCACTAAAATGTCTTGCGGCTGCGCTGCTCACTTGAATTAATCTAAACGTTTTTCCTTACTTGTGTGTGCTCTATCTATAATGCAAATTATGGACATCACTCATTTAAAGGCAGGTTGGTGGTCCCTTCCATTTTTTTGCCATCAAGACAGCGAAACAACACCTGAAAAAATCACACCAAGGCTATGACAATGCAAAAACACTCACAACATGAAACTTATGTCCATCAATATATTGCCAGAGAGCATGTACATGTTACTTCATATAACTGCAATGTCCAGTTCCAAATCAGTCTCTGCTCATGGTTTCAGCTCTGCATATCTTTTGTTTCAAGTAATCTTAAAGTTGCTGTCGGATCCCAAATGCTAAAGACACATGAGCATGCAGCATCAGTCTCCAGCAGCTCACAGGAGAAACAGGCTGGGCATAAGTAACACTTAACCTAATTGATGGTCACCCACTCTGAGGTGGGCTGTGAGACTTAATGCATTATGGATGGAGTGGAGGTCTAATCTCCGTGAGGATGGAGGCCTGATGGGGATTTGCTTTTCTCTCTCATTAAATAAGCCAGACACACTTCCTGTCACTGCTCTAGGACACTGTAGCAGAGCACTAAGCATACTTAATGCACTGGCCTGGCTTAAGGGACTGCTTGCAGCATTATAAGTGTTTCTCATGGAGGCTGCTCTTTTGGAGATGAAAAAGTATGCAGACAATAGACAATAGCTTCACCACTTTATCGCTTAAATGTTGCATATAATCATTAATTTTTACAAATTACCCTAATTTGTTTGCATTTGTTGTTTCTCAGTTGAGACCTTTCTCAACAGAACTCAAATTTGTATTGGTTATTATTCTCATTATCATTAGTTATTGTCAATTTAGTGACAATTTGGTTGCTGCAATTTTTATATGGGGCTGAGTTTTTGAGCTTTATTTGTTTAACTTGTTGACTTGCGCCTGAAGATGTGTTGATTGCTTAACAGACTGAAATAACCCACATGCAATGTGTAAAAAAACTGTTTGAGGACTCCCTAATGATAAGAAATAATTCTGATGTAGCTCCAGAGTATTACCACAGTCCAAGCAAACAGCCCATTCCAAAGTGGCAGGTTTACAAAGGGAACTGCACTAGTTAACTACAATTTAATATTATACGGGATATGAAACTGCACGTCCTTGTGTCCTTCACAATTGTGAGGGACACTTATTAAATCGTGGAACATTGTATCTCCGGTCAGATGGTGCCAATCTATATTCACTGTTCAGGACATGATTGGGATCAGAAACAATCTTAGTATGTTACTATGGTAACTTTAACAATCTTTGGGCAGTTTTTACTTCAAAGTAGTGGATGTATAGTCGTTATCACACTATTGTACAAGCGTTGATGTTTCTGCTGAGTTTGGTTTAATTAGCTGGGACATCATGATTTACTGTTACAGTAAGAATGACTCACGATCACTCTCCACATCACGACTCGACTCAAACTGACATCACCAGTGCAAGCTGGCCGCACCAGGATGTGGGATATTTTGGTGTCATGTTTGTACAGTGGGATGAAGCGGAGATGTATCGTCTAGCTACAGTCGTTTGTATATTACCTAACTATATTGCTACTGTCTGAAGGTTACTGGTACAAAACATGATGATGCAGTGAAGGATCTGGATATAGAGTGACAGGGTATGAGGCAAAGGGAGAACATCATTTATGTGTGTGGTGTGTGCTCTTTTACAGATGTCTTTGTGAGGACCTACAGAGTGAGGACATTTTGGCCGGTCCTCACTTTCGGACCCACCTTTAATGGACTGTTTGGGAGTTAAGACTAGGTTTTAGGGTTAGGGATTTAGTTTGGATGGTTAAAGTTAGGGGCTAGGGAATGCATTCTGCCAATGAGTGTCCTCACTAAGATATAAGTACAAATGTGTGTGTGTGCTTGTGTGTGTGTGTGTGTGTGTGTGTGTGTGTGTTTCTGTTCACATTGGGTCACAGTTGTTGCTTTGAGCACCCCCAGGAGAGTTGTGTCCTTTAGTCCCAGGGCATGAATGTTTTGGTCGACACCTCAGGGGATTTCTAACTGAGTTGCTTGCCGACTCTGATTTTCTCCCGCTTGTGTGCCCACCCACATGCACACACCAACTCACAGTCTAACCCACATTGTCACTTATCACAGACGTAAGTCTTTAATATGCACAGTGTTGCCTGCAATCTAAAAGCGGTGACGAGGCACATGGGTCACCTTGATCTATTGCCAACAAGCACACACGGTCACATCTGGCAACAGATGTGTCTCCGTGTGTTTGTGTGTGTGGGGATGCAGAAATAGAACTCTCACTGTAAACATGTTAGTTGTTTCTACAAAAGTTGCCACTTGTTTAATTCAATCTATTCTGTATGTGTGTCTCTAAGTTGCTTTCTAGATAAAAATAATTTTTTTCTTGGTTACTTCGGTTTTGTCAGAATGTTTCATCTTAATTGTAATAAAATGACATTCATTATTGCGCGATTGAATCAAAGCTTTTACTATCTTTGATCCACCACTATGCTACGTTGGGGTTTGATTCTCTGAATGTTTTCAAATGCTGCTGTACATCTGCCTTGCACACAGCCCCACACTTAAACATGCTGTCAGGTTTTAAAGAATGAAATAGAGTGAGTGCAGCCTTGATGTTTATTTGTATTAATCATGATCAACCCAATTCCACCCTGTTTCTTTTCTAGAGTAAACGACTGCATCCTGCGGGTGAATGATACAGACGTTTCTGAGGTTTCCCACAGTAAGGCAGTAGAGGCCCTGAAGGTTGCAGGTTCTATTGTCCGACTATATGTGCGGCGCCGGAGGCCAATGTTAGAGACCATCATTGAGATCAAACTCATCAAAGGACCAAAAGGTGTGCTCTAACACACACACACACACACTCACGCTCACACAATGTTGCGATTACTGCAATTAAAATGTACCTGTGAGTGATATAACTCATATCACCCTTTAGTGACTAGACTTTTTATAAAAATTATTTACATAAAACATTCTAATTATAAAAGATATCCATATGCTGGTATGTCATGATTTATGTCCTCTTGTAATCGTGTTCATGCCTCATGTCTAATGTCTGTCAGACACGTAACCCAGACGCTAACCGGCTACTTTCATGTGCACACACACAGGGCTTGGCTTCAGTATTGCAGGTGGAGTTGGAAACCAGCACATCCCTGGTGACAACAGCATATATGTCACCAAAATCATTGAAGGTGGGGCAGCACAGAAGGATGGGCAACTACAAGTTGGAGACAGATTGTTAATGGTGGGTACCTGGTATTCTGGCACATGAGTCCCATTTTTAGCCTTTGGAAGATGGTTTTTATACACAGGCTGTTTCCAGTTACTTTGGTTGATGAAACCTCTGATCTATAGAGCTATTTTCAGACATGACCTTCGGAGAATGTCCAGAGAATCGGGTCCAGAATTTTTCCGGGGGTTGACTTTTACACATGTACAACGCAGCAGGAGATTCTCCGTTCTGACGTGTTCACAACAACACAGAAATCTCTACAGGGGTCAGGGCTGGTGCAGCAGGCAGAGACAGGCTGTACCGCATCAATTCGGCTGCAGAGATCATGTATTTTTGTTTACAGCACATTATTTTTCCCTTTGATTTTCATTTGTGCATCCATCATGTGTTAGAAATGTTCTCAACACGCTCACCTTGCGTTGAATCCTGCGGAGAATCTCCTGCTGGGTTCTCACATTGGCTCTAGGGTTTCTGCGGACTTTAAACAAGGGGACTGGCCAGAGAAACTCAACAGAGGCTCTTACACAGACATTTGCGTCCACACATACAGCCCCTCCGGAGAATGTCCGTGCATGTCTGGAATCAGCCTAGTTGTACTGTGGTATTAACATCTCCGTTCATGAGTCTACCACACACTGAACAAGGAGCGTCCATTGCTCAATATCATGGAGGAAACAGCTAATTTCCAAAACAAACCAAAGCATGAAGTTTACTAAAGTGCTCCTTAACTGGCATCATCGAGGGGAAATACAATTCCTAAAACTACTACAGAATAAATTCAAACATAGAAAATCCAGTCCACCCAGAGTCCAGACCTTAACCCAATGAAGATGCTGTGGAATGAGCTCGGACTCGTTTGACATTACGTTTTACCAGTTATTCAATCCAAGGGTTAGCCTCAGACTTCTACCACCATTGTGGATATCTTATGGATGTCTTCAGTCAAGACATGAATGATTATAATTTCTTGTTATTATCAATATCATCTTGTCTGTAGAAGATCAAATCACATTTTATTACATATTGCATTAATCCATGTCACTCCAAAGAGCTCCCCTTATTTTTCTTGCCACTACAACAATGTTGAAGAGATATAATGGAAAGACACACTCATGTTCTGAGAATTCATACTAGGACACAGGTTTTGTGCAGTTGTATTGTTTTTTCTATGATAACAACATGAAAATTAGAACAATAGTCAAAAACAATCTAAGTAATTTCTGTAAAAACAGTAACAGTAAGGGTTTTTTGTGGTCAAGTTTTTCCTCACTCGAACCGAGGGTCTAAGGACAGAGGGTGTCACTACCTGTACAGATTGTAAAGCCCTCTGAGGCAAAATGTGTTTTGTGAATTTGGGCTATACAAATAAAATTTGATTTGATTTGATTTAACAGACAGACTAATTACAGATAATCCCATAAATAACATTAGACTTTTTATGGGAACTTATCTTGTCAGTGTGTTTGCAGCTGAAAACATGCAAACTAAATGACAGCAACAATGTAGAAACCTAGCGGCTCAATAGTTTAACAGCAAGCTTTCTCTTGAGGAGGGCCTCCCTCTTGACCAGCACTTAATTTAATTACCTTCCTACTGTCGCGTTCTCACCAGAAGACCATCTGTCATAATCCAGTCCCCTGGAGGCAGGGAACACGCTCGGCTGCGAGCAGGAAGGGAACAAAGGGCAGCGTTTAAAGTGACTAACTAAACACACAAAGACTTCTCATTGTCTGGACAGGTGAATAATTACAGTCTGGAGGAAGTGTCTCATGAAGAGGCTGTGACCATTTTGAAGAACACGTCGGACGTGGTCTACCTGAAGGTGGGAAAGCCCACCAATGTCTACCTATCAGATCCCTATGGGCCTCCTGATATCACACACTGTAAGTCACCGTCTCTTGTATTTATCAGTTGATTTGTCATCTTTCTTTATAAAAGTTTGACTATGTTAAAGGGAAAGCTGTGAGTCAACCTCTCTTTCACAAAACCTTTAGTTAGTTACCTTAAGTTCAGTGCACACAACCTCGATTTGCCATCACTTTATGAAGTTGCTATGCCACTAATATTACCATACTATTTTTACCTACATGTCAGGCAGAAACAGAACACATGTGATGTTGTGTTTTAGCCACTTAATGATTGTAAATCCAATAATCAATCTCCTTTTAACTCGTCGCTAGTGTACTAGTATGGATTTATGTGCATTTAAGCTCTCCACTCTGGAGTGTTTTCACCTCGCACTGCTGCAGTGATGAGAGTGCCCACACTGAACAATACTGTAAATGTACTGTTAAACCCACTAACCCCCCCCCCCCC